TTTATTAGCAACCCTCAAAGTTATAGAAGGACATGGTATTCATGGCTGCAATGGCATTGTAAGCATTGGGAATAGCAATGCTCCCCTTGCAGTTGTTGTGAGAGATAGGAATGAGGTAATTGGGGATAGCGGAACTGAAAATGGTGTAACTGGTTTTAATTGGAAAGATTGGGTTGAAGATGCTAATTTTGAATGTGTTGAAAACATAGTCGCAGATTTTTCTGTACCTAGGAATGAAGAGGAAGCGTACTCTGCACCAAACGTGCATCCTCATCGAGAAAGCAATTTCCAAGCCTCCATGGTGCAGGTTACACAAGTGCAATCTGAAAATCTGCAACAATCAAGTTGGAGTGAAATGCATACAAGCCAGGTTCATTTGGTGCATGGTAAGAATGTGGAAGATATTGATTATGGTGGAGGTCTTTCTTGCATAAATTGGGAAGCAAATTTTAAGGTTGGACGAGTTTTTCCAAATAAGATTGCCCTTATAAAAACCTTATGTTTAGCAGCAGTCAGAGGCCACTTTCGATTTAGAACAGTCCAATCTGGGAAACGTAGGTTGTGTGTTCGTTGTTGGCAACTTCCTTGCCCTTGGCGACTTCGGGCATATAAAGTTGGATTACATGAGTTTAGGGTTGTTAAATACGATCCATTTCATGAATGTGATCTAAGGTATCTTAGTAGTCACCATCCTCAAGCTAGTACGGGATTGTTGTCTGACTCTGTGAAACGCAGATTCAAGGATTCTCGCACCATTTATACTGCAGGTGATATCATCAAAGATGTGCGACAAAATTTTGGTGTGACCATAAGCTACTCTAAAGCTTGGAGAAGCCGAGAGTTAGCTTTAAAGATAATTAGAGGGTCTGCAGAAGAATCATATGCTCTTCTCCCTTCCTATTGTTATGTATTGGAGCGTACAAATCCTGGAACTTTGACATACATTGAGACTGATGCAGCCAACCACTTTTTATATTTTTTTATGTCAGTTGGTGCATGCATAAGAGGATTTAAGTGCTCAATGCGTCCTGTGATTGCTGTTGATGCTACCCATTTGAAGTGCAAGTACAAAGGTGTTTTGTTTGTTGCCACCGCATTTGACGGAAATCGTAATATATATCCTCTTGCCTTTGGGATTGGAGATTTAGAGACGGATGCGGCTTGGGAGTGGTTTTTCACAAAACTACATTGTGCAATTGGTGATTGCTCGAATCTTGTTGTCATATCTGATCGAAATCTTAGCATAGAAAATGGGTTGAAAGGAGTTTTTCCTGAGGCAGCACATGGTGTTTGCTTTTATCACTTGAAGGGCAATATGAAAGCCTCATTTAAGTTGAAGAAGCGGGATCCGATATTGGGGTTTTTTGTGCGGGCGGCTAAGTCTTACCGTCTAGCAGAGTTCAATCGTTATTTCTCCATGATAAACAACAAGCGAGTGCAAACTTATCTAGTACGTGCAGGGCTCCATAAGTGGTCTCGAGCCCATTGTGATGGACGACGATATAATGTCATGATAACTAATATTGCAGAGTCCATTAATTCAGTTCTTCATTTTGCAAGGATGCTTCTGGTGGTACACTTGATCGAGGAAATTAGGAATATGCTTCAGAATTGGTTTAGTCAACATCGAGATTTGTCAATGAAATGTAAATCTATGTTGTGCCTTGATTTAGGTGAAAAGAAGTTGAGGAAGAGATTAGGCGCTGCTTCGAGGATGAATGTGGTTAAAATCAATGATATGGAGTATAATGTGCTTGATGGTGATATGAACGGTCTCGTGCACTTGCAAAACTATAGTTGTACGTGTAGGAAGTTTGACTTAGAGCAACTCCCGTGCAAGCATGCTATTGCGGTATGT